TAATAAATTTTACTTACTTGTTGATCTAAATGTGGCACATGAACATTTTGAGCTCAATCATAACTATAATGAGCAGTAGCATCAATACTGCAATATTATGTTTTACTCTTTGAATAATTTTGATTAACCAGTTTTCTTTGCCCTTCTGGCAATTTGGTATTTTTATTATAATAATTTCTTTCCATTTTGGCTTTAGACAGATGTTCTTTAAATCTTTTGAGTAATTCTTTAGCTTCTTCCTCTGGCAAGCATTATAATATAAACCATCTCTAAAATGTTGACAAGTATCACACAAATCAGTCCTGGGACTCATAATTTGAATCTCTGGTGTCAATTGATGTCATAATTTTCTGAATGCATCATATTTTAAAGATTTCAATTTGTTATCTTCTTCCAAACCAACTAGAAAGTCCCTGTGGACTGATTTATAACTCATTTCAGCTGTTAAGAATACAATTGATTGAGTTATTCTATTGATACTTCTTCCTGGACTTGGTAATCCATGAACTTTTGCATAATTTTCTAGAAAATTCTTTACTACTTCTGTAACATTTTTATCAATCATCATTTTAGTTTTCCATTGAGGCATTCTTTTAATATTACCATGAATTCTTGGTAGAAGACCATTGTTTATTAGATGATTTCTAATATTTTCAAAATAAGTTCTGCCAATTCCTAACATATTGAGATAAGTTTCTTGACAAAGAAGTGTATTGTGATCCCAATGATAGAAAGTTCTTTTATTAGACCTGGTTTTCTTTTTAAGGCGTCTGCTAACACTTGTTGATCCACCATCCATTGCTTTAAGTTGGGCCATTAAAAATATGTCTTGTTCTACTTTAGAAAGAGCTTGAAAAGATTCTCTTAATTCTGCAAAATTTTCCTTGGGGATTCTTGAAGAACAACCACATTTACATCCTTTTTCTAAAAAATCAATTGCTTTTTAATATTCATTAGAACCATTATATTTGTTATTACTTTTCATATACACTTATCCCTATATATATAATTTTATAATGTTATGTTCACTTTGTGATTTTTTTAAGAATTATTCTCTTTGAATAGTATTATATAGAAATAATAACTAATGACATTAAAGCCTTTTTATTAAATTCAATCAGATAATTTTATGTAAGTTGTGAGAAGTCAAAAAACTAGCAAAATGATACATCAAATTTGTGATCAAAAATTCTATAATAAAGTAATTCAATCAACATATAATTAGAATGCTGGAATCCAGGGCTTTTAAATGAATAAAAAATTTAAAAACATTTTTGAGTTACTGTATTTAATTAAGTTAATCAGGTTTCAGGTAATAATAATACAAACTTTAGTTTTATATCTAAAAATATTAAAAAATTTGAATGATGATAATTTGGTGGATGCAAACCTATTATGATTTTTTTTCTTTTTTTGTGACAATACAAAGTTTTCTTTTAATATTCCACAATGCTATATCTAAAAATAATATTAATCTTGATAAAGACATGCCTTTCGAAACTGAAAAATTTATTACATGTCAAAGATTTGAAGATTAATGAAGAATTATAAAATTAAAGAAAACTAATTTATTTATTTGAATAGATTCTAAAAAATCAATTTATAATTGGTATCTGGTGTCATCCACAAATCCTGGAAATGGTTTCTTATTTGTGATCTCCATTATCAAGTTCATGTAGTAAGTCCTTTAATTGGTCAAGCATATGATAATCATGTTCTTTTTTAAGTAAACCATTGGGTTTAACATCATTATGCCATGGTTGTTCCCAATTTATTGATGCTGGGTATCTATCCACTCTATCTCTTCCACACCAATCAAAAACTACAAGAGTTACTTTATGCTTACCATCTAAAACTCTAATTAAGATGTTTGGAGGTCTAAGGTCTGCAAATACAATATTGTTACAATGCAACTCATCAATAGCAATTTTTATATCCTTATAGATGTTTATTAAAGTTTCTTGAGTGCAATGAGTATCTGTTATAAGATTGTCTAGTTGAATACCATCAATGTACTTCATAATAATCATATAAAATCCATTATATATATTTTCACTAACAAAGATCAGTTCTGGAGCAAGATCTTTATGATAACAGATCTTGTGTGCTTCACTGTTATATCTTTTTGCAAATTTTACAACTATCTCAGTGTTATCATCCAATCGTGCTTTCCAAATTGGTTTTGCATAATTCTTAGTTAGTGGACCATCATAGGTAAAATGGAATTTCTTATCTTCTATTATAAATTCCCGAATATAAGGGAAAAATTTGTCTTGTAAAAAATAATCATTTGGAATCTCATTCAATGATATCTCAGATAGAGTTGTGTCCAAATTTGAATAGAATTGATGAAGGTGATCAAAAGCATTAGTTAATGCTACAAACAATCGAATAATCTGACAAAACTTATCATCATCATCTACTGGATCTGCTAGAAAGATCATATCTGTCAATGGTTCAACTACTACTTTGTCTATAAAAACAGCACCAAGGATACAGATCCAGGGGCCAGCAATACTAACAATGATGGATGGACAACAACAATATTCTTTATTTCGTTTCTTATAAAATTATAAAATTTGAGTATATAAAATAATTAATATATTAATAACATATGGTACAAAAATATAATATATCGTCAAAAATCTGATAAATAAATACATACAGCATAGTACCAATACTTTTCATATGATAAAGATCCTTGGATTGTGGGGTCACACCCACCAGAACCAACTTCATTTTTAATTTCAAAAATGGCTTTATAAGCTAGTTGGTTTTTGACTGAAATTGTTAGTACACCATCACTTGCACTATTATCAGGATTCTGTTCTTTATGTACAACACCCCAAAGTTCTTGAAACTTTTCCATCATGATTCCTTGGCGAGTTTTTTCATCCTTATATCCAGATGCTGCAATCCAAAGGAGTTCTTTAGTCCATTTGTAAAAATCATTAGGGATAGATACATCCTTGAAATCCTGTAAGAATAGTCCAAAGACTTCATTATAGAGAAATATTGAAGGACCAGTAGATTCAAATGGGCGACGGTTAAAGATCAAACGAGTTTCCTCATTAGCTTGGTGATAAAAGAAGTAACCAGGTTTTGCTGCACTTGAAGGGCCTTTCATATTATATATTTTGTCATTGGTCCTGTCATACTCCTCTATAAAAAAAAAGGTGAGAAAAATACAAACCATAACAAATAGCAAAGAAAACATTTGTAAACCTTGTATTAGTTCCAATTTTTGCCGTTTAGTACTAGTCTGCAAGTAGCCATCACTTTTCCTTGATACAGTTCCTTCCAATGGAAGCACATGAAAAAATGTGCAAAAGTAATAGATAATAGGATGAATAGATATTAAGGAAGAGATATTGGAATAATGAGTATAGAATAATAAAGATCATAAATGAAGGAACAAAACAAAGAGAGAATTAATTAGTTAAAGTTGTAAATAATATATTTCAGATGAAAAAATAAATAAATTATGGAAAATAAACAGCATGAAACAGAATAAGAGATCCTCCCCAAAAATGTATAATATTATGAGAGGATAAAGTGAATATACAGATTGAATAGGACAAAACATATTAACTTTAAGGGAATTGCTATTTCTCACCGGTGGTGATTGTCACCACCTAAGGAATTATACAATTTATGTTTGACTTTTTCTTTTTCTACCACAACTCTACCTTTTTCAAGTTCTTGAATCCTTTTTTTTAACTTGATTATTTCGATTTCTTTATTTTTTAATTCGTTTTCCTGTAGTTGGAGATTGGATTAATATCAAAATCATTAAAAAACAAAATAGCCAACCCTACCCATATGATTACATATTACATACTTTGTTTGAATGTGTGAGCAGTCCTCTAAAGAAATAAAAGATCAAAATTTTAATTAGTTAAAATTTATAAGCTTTTTGTTGATTCATTTTATTTGTTATTTATTAAACTAGAGTGATGACAAGTGGTGGGCGATAACCACAACCACCATCCTTAAAACACTTACTCGCGTCGTTCTTTATTTTTATTGTCGCTTCTTTTTCTGTTGCTGCTTTTGTTCGGCATTTTGTATACAAAAAAAGGAAAAAGAAGTTTATTTGATTGATTGACATGTACACACTAATTGGTTTTTTTTGGTAGGACAGACGCGAATTGATTTTTTTTTTTTGGAAAAAACAATTTATTTTTTGACAGAGTCCAAGGTGACAAAACGTGAGTGTTGTTGTTTGGTTTGGTTTGAAAATTCTAAAGAAAACATGTTAATAACTAACCAGAGGTACTTTTTTTATTTGTATTGATATTTTTTAATTATAGATATTTTAATTGGAATCAAAACGCAGAGCAGATCTTGCTGGGTAATTATAAGAATTTCATTGATAATATTTTACTTTTCGTAATCGTTAATATATAATTATAATATTATTATATTATTATAATTACAAATCAAGGCAGTACACTGTTGAAAAAGAGACATTTCAAATACGAAACATTTTGATATGCAATGTTTGATTACAGGAAAATGGCAGGCGTTGAAGCACGCACACTACTTTGAACACTTTACAGTCATTCTGTCACCTTCCTCATGTACATAAGGCTAATCTGACCACGCTGCCCCCGATGATACAATGATGCTACAGAATTCCAGGGGGGGAGCCCAAGGCCCTGGAGTTTACCAAGACTGCATCAATCGTCAATGATGCTTTCACTAATCTTCCCTCACCAGAGAAGGCTGCTGGCATGCTAGCCGAAATGTCACCTGCAACGATCCTGCCTCTAGGGTAAGGGTGG